TGGCTAAAGCCCTCGATTGCTGATAGTGAGGTGTTTCCGCAAAATTACGTCGTCTATCGCAACGATAGGCTCACAGCAGCTGGTGGTATTTTTTTACTTGTTTGTTCTTGCTTACAGTCATTTGAAGTTGATTATAAGTGCGACACACTGGAGTCTGTATGGTGCAAGATAATACTGCCTGATAACTTCGCGTTTGTGGTCGGAGTGGTTTATCGCTCGCCGAGCTCAGATAGTAGCATAATGAAAACATTAGATGAAATTCTTTCTGAAGCGTCAGCCCAGACAATACTCCTAGGGGGGGATTTTAATCTGCCTGGCTTATCCTGGGGTAATGGTTCCTGTATAAGTATAAGCGGGCGCATGAACCTTGCGATGAAAAATATCGTCAACACGTTTGGTTTGACGCAGTACGTTACCACCCCTACTCGCAATGACGCTGTGTTAGACTTGTTGTTTTGTAACTCGCCAAATTTCGTAAATGACGTGACTGTGATTCCAGGAATTAGTGATCATCTTGCTGTTGTTGCTTGTATCCGAAAGAAAAAAGTGTGTGCGAAGTTACCTACGAGTAGAAGGATCTACTTTTATGACAAGGGTGACTACGATGCAATTTCTGAAAAACTTCGTAATTCGTTCCCTGTTTTCGAATGTCTTTTTGAGGAGGGCAATGTGCATGATATGTGGGACAAATTTAAGAATATACTTTCCGAGTTAACAAATATACATATCCCCAGTGTTCATTCATCACGGCTAAAAAAGCACAAACAACCATGGGTAACAGCACATATATTAAAACTTATCAACAAAAGGAAGAGGGCATTAGGCGCATTCAAGAAAAGCAAATCAGTTGCTCACTTTGAAAAACTGAAGTCGATTACCCACGAATATAAGCTAAAGATAGAAAAAGCTAAAGATGATTACTTCACTGAGCTGAGCAACAAAATGAAATCAAATCCTAAAATGTTTTGGAAGTACTTGAAACAGTGTGGCTCAGATTCCTTTGAAATACAGGAGTTAAATTATAATGGCACGGTAATTACGAATTACGAGGATAAGGCTGCATGCCTAAACAACTTTTTCCACTCGGTATTCTTACCCAAACACAGCTGTAATTATCATCAAACTATTATGAGCATTTCGCCTATGCTTCCTGTCGAGCTTAGTGTTAATGAAATTGAAAAACTATTGAAGGACGTTGATGAGAGTAAATCTAGTGGTCCAGATGGAATTTCTCCACGTGTACTCAAGCGTTGTGCGGGGCCAATTTCTATGTATCTTTATGCAATTTTTGAAAGATCTTTAGCGACAGGTACCTTACCACATGACTGGAAAATTGCGCATGTGGTACCGATACATAAAGGTGGGTCCAAAAAAGACGTTGGTAATTATAGACCAATATCGCTTATGTCTATCCCGTGTAAAATCCTCGAACATATTTTATACAAAGAAATAATAACTCATTTAAACAAGCATAAGGTACTAATCAACGAGCAGCATGGATTTCGCAGAGGGCTGTCTTGCACAACACAATTAGTCCAATTTTATCATGATGTAGTATCAGGCGTAGATACTGTAGGACAGGTTGACGGTGTGTTCTTGGATTTTCGGAAAGCGTTTGACACGGTGTCACATTCACTCTTACTGTTTAAGCTTACCACCCTGAACATTGATGAGACTGTTTTTAAATGGATCGAATGTTACCTTTCCCAAAGAACACAAACCGTAGTACTGAATGGAAAATGCTCCGAATACGCCGATGTTACCTCAGGGGTCCCACAGGGCTCCGTCCTGGGTCCGCTATTGTTTTTAATTTATGTTAATGATATCTCTGCAGGAATTTCATCTTCTATACGGTTGTTTGCGGATGACTGTGTTGTGTACAGAAAAATTTTTGATCACAATGATGTACTAGAACTTCAGAAAGACTTATCGCTCATTTATAGCTGGTGTACCAAATGGAAAATGAATTTGAATATAACAAAGTGTGTACATATTTCACTTACCAAAAAGATGAAACCATTTCAGTCACAGTACCATCTGAACAATGTACAGTTGAAACAAGAGAGTGCATATAAGTACCTAGGTCTAATACTATCATCTGAATGTTCATAAAGGCCTCAGGTTGACACTCTCATAGCCAAAGCTGGTAAGGCCTTAAATTTCATTCAAAGAAACCTGCGATGTTCGCATGTGAATTTAAAACGTATGGCATACACTACTTGTATCAGACCTATCTTAGAATACCGCTGTGTCGTGTGGGACCCCGTCACGGTAACCTTCATTGCTGCTCTGGAACAATTACAAAATCGTGCTGCCAGGTTCGTCTTGGGACGGTACGGAAGGGGGGAGAGCTGCACTGCAATGAAGGCTGAGCTAGGACGGGAGTGTCTTTCTGACCGCCGCCAGAAGCAGAGATTAAAATTTCTTTACTGCATTTACTACAATAAAACTGGAATTAATAGAGAAATATACCTACACAACCCTCATTACACTTCAAAACGTTTTGATCATAGTTGGAAAATTTGGGAATACTCAGCTAAAACGAACATGTATACCAATTCATTTTTTCCTAGAACGATTAAACAGTGGAACAGGCTAACTGAAATGTAAGTACATAGTGGGAACGAAGATATATTTTATTCACTGCTGTAAACCAGTGTTGTAACCTGAACGAAGATGTATTGATGTGTGAACGAAATTCTACTATATGTGTGAACGAAAATGTATTTCAGTTATTTATGTGTGAACAAAGTTGTATTGTGTGTGAACGGAGATGTACGTCATTTATTGATGTAACCCCCCTGCTATAACCCCTTCGGGTGCTGCGGGGTATCTGATGAGTAAAGAATAAAGAAAAAATGTCAGCAGGACTGGTGAAGTCAGCCTTGTTAAAGCTATTCTAAAAATACTGCAATGTGTCACAACCTCACAAACTTCACAACTCGAGTAAACATCAAGTGGGTAGAAATCCTGTATGTCACCCAGAATAATTAGTCCAAAGTCATCAAGTACTTTGACATTTTAAGAGGATCTTTGTTCACTGCATTCCAGGGTTTTCAGGGGCTTTCATATGAGCACTAATAAATAAATGACAAGGACTCTTTCAATTTGCATGAACCAGCTGTGATGTGTGATTGAGCACGCTGTGTACAAAACTGTCAACTCTGGGGTAATTTCTTCAGTCACTTTCTGAAGAGCTGACTGCTGCTCCTCTGGAAGATCTCCTACATTGAACTGCTGAACTCCAGTTGTCGTAAGATCTGAGTTCAACATGGAGCTCTACATTGGCTTTGCAGTACACGATGGTTTATATGTGGCTGTACAATGCATGCAGTGCTTTTATAGATTATGAACAAGCTTAAGTTACCACATAAAAAAAGCTTGTCATTTTGTACTAGCTAATAAAGTGGTGAATTACTGTACAAAAACAAAATCTATAGCCAATATACTATCACCTCACAAAAGCGCACTTAAGATCATGGAAGCTGGCAGGATTTTGTGGGGTGCAAACTTCTGCTGCATTGCAGCAGAGGGAGGGAAAAATTGGTGGTGTATTTTGGGTGAGGGGTAAGTGTGTGGCTTGAAGGGGGCAAGTGCGCCTTTCGCAGCCCCCTGACAGTGCCCATGCTTATCAATGAACATGAAAGAAAACAGTGAACCTAAAAGCAGTTAGTAGAGACTGACAACCAAGCATGTACAATAATAACAAATTTCTGCATATAGAATCTTCATATTAGAGTTGCAGAAACACAGCTTAACGAACCTGTTGAAAGAATGCCTCACACCTAATGATAATCTACACTGAAGTTTGGGAAGACATTGAAGTACTGTACTCCTAACTGTGCATTGTAGCTTCTGTTGCATGACACTTTTTAGTTGTTACTCTGTCAGAAGGTTGGCACTTGGTTACAGCGTAACAAAGATGTGTGAGTGAACAAGAAGAAAAATAGGCACAATATAATATATAATAGAAAAAATAGGCAGAAAAATAGTAAGTTAACTCGTAAGCCAAAAATATGCAGGCAACCTTGGCCCCTATCCGTGAAGCTTGTAAAATAAGTTTGCCAAAGCTAGTCTAGAGAACAGCATAGTGCGTCACAACTTCACAAAATCCATGGCTGGAATAAAGGTCAAGCGGGTAGAAACCCTGTTTGTGATCGGGAATTATTACAACTAAGGCAGCAGATGGCTTGACAATGTAAGAGGATCTGTGTTCACTACATTGCAGAGTTTCAAGGGGCTTGCATAGGAGCACTAATGAACCGCTAACAACAAGGACTCTTTCAATTTGCATGAACTGCGGCTCACCATCCTGCACACTGTGGACAAACGTGTCACCTGTGCGATAACAGTAACCACTGACGCTAGCGGTTGTAGCTGTGGAGATGAACTCCTCTTCAGACACTTCACGAAGAGCCAACTGCTGTTGTTCTGGAAGATCTCCTAGATTAAGCTGCTTTGCTCCAGTTGTTTCAAGATCCGAGTTCAACATGTTGCCCGACAGCTCATATGCCTGAAGAAGCTGGTGACGTGTTGCAAGTGTAAGACAGATGTTCTTGAAGTTCTTGGTCTTGGATGCAATGCTCTTAAAATAAGAATGTTTAGCCTCAAATCGCATGCCCCAGTAGCGGCGCGGTGGGCCATACTTGAGAATATACTTTGGATAGTGTAGCAAGAAGTGCAGTTTTGGTGTCACTGCTGCATTTGGGTACTGCACTGTATACAGCTCGAGAAACTCCTCCACCTTCACCTGTAGATATGGCACACAGCTCCTTGGGATTTTCTCGGCCAAAATAATGTCAGCAATGTGTCTGTATGCCAAGTACACCTCCCAGTGAGAATTGCCTTCAGGAACAACTTCAGCATATATCTGGGGAAGCAGCCGAAACAAGCACCATTTCTGGCTAGCTGATTGCACAGCTTCTGTCTTGCACAGCATTTTTTGCACAGCTTCTGTTTCTAATTGTAGCTTAGGCCTGTAAACTAGCTGTACTAAAAGCATATTGGAATACTTTGGGATTTTTCACAAAAAGTCAGCAAAATAAACCTAGCTTTAGGAAATGGTTGTTACACTGATGTTTATTTTCTGGAATTTGGAAATTAACAAATTTGCCCATATCTTGATATACTGTTTTTCAAAATACAGGATTCATGGCACCATGGCTTGAAATTCAAGTGCAAATTTGAAAGGAAGAAGTTTTTGAATGATGGGGAGGTGGCAGAAATGCGCCAAAAATATGGAAAGCTTGGTCATCCATCAACGTCATCATCATCTACATCGGCAAAACGCCTCTGCAGTGAAGTCAGTACATTCTAGATTTTAAGCACGTAGCACTATTAGAGTGCCATACTGTCATAGGCTGTGATCGTACGCTGTCATCGTCGCTTGGCGTAACATGGGGCAAAACGAATTTAGCATAGCCATCTGAGCATGTGCTCGTGTCAAAGAGAAAACTTCCTCTTGTTTTTCGAGTGCCTTCATGATATTATTAATGCAGGAAAAACGGTATATGCAAGCTGAGGAGCAAATGCACTTGTTACATAAGAGTAAAGTAGTTCATTTACTTGCTTGCAGCCTGCTTTCACTGGATGGATCTTGAAATTTTAAACGTTCATGTAGTTCTGCACTACATGATCACGTCAGGAGGCAGCTGCGAAGTTACTAGTAAAAGTGTGTTTTGAAGACACGTTTGCAACTCAAGAGTTATAGAATGCTTCGCTTTGTTACAGGAACATCTGAAAAGTATTCAGTCCACTGAAGATGAGCAGAGTGTGGAAATGCACATAAAATCAATGCAGCAAGAAATGAAGGGTGCAACAATATCTCTGGAAAAACTCACAGACTCAATGACCCGCACATTTCATGCTCGGCGGCATTGGGTGAAAGATTCAAGACCATCAATGTATGAATTGCTGCAACAGTATCCGGCACTTGAAAGACCTGAGCTGGCAAGTTTCAGATGCTTTGTGGATCTCGCAGTATCAATACTCTTCTGCATCTCTTATTTCAGATCTTTCACGACTTCAAATTGCTTGGTGGGAAGCCACCAATAGAAACTATTGTGCATGCAGCACAGAAGCATGTTGACACAGTAGTAAACATGATGAGGGAAAAGATGGAGCCGATAACCTCACAGCTACTGGGAATGGCCGAAGGAACCAGTGAGGATGACAAAAAATGTACGAACACAGGGGCCTTTCCTGCACTAAAAAAGTATTTAAAGTGTATGTAACACATATTTATATTGCAGTGCTGACAACTCTTGCATTCCTCACGGCTCTTCCCCGCACTGTGAAGGAAAAGTCGTCATCATTCCTCAAACAAACGGTAAGTCATTGTCAAAGCTCTATATTACTTTCCACAGTTCTCTAGTTTGTAATACCCTGCCGTAATGGGGTCCCATTAATATTGTTTGAGGTGGACTTTGCTCTCAGAAGCGTTCCAGTTTCCACATAGGGAGTATGGACTGTACAGGTTCCAAAGCTTTTATCCCCTTTCATGAATATTTTAACGGTGAAACGGCACCTTCGCACTTTCTGCAATCATAATAAAGCTGAAGTGTTGTATAATTGCACAATACTGCTTTATATACCTTAATCATTGCATAGTTCTATAAATATTACTTACTTTTTCTTGAATTGTGCTTGTAATTTGAACCTGCTGCCCAACTTTAGAGTAGGAAGCTTTACCATATATGGAAAACAATTTAAAAAGCATGACAGCAAGTTCTCACAGCCATGTGCGTTTCATGAAAGTGGGCATCCAGCTTGAGCTCCTTCTGCGTAGCTACATTCCTTCTTTCTGCTCTCTTGAGGTGCAATTCACTTATTGACATTTGCATATACCGGTACTAGTCAAGGTATTTTTGCTGCTAATCAGAGAACTGCAGCTATATACTGAGCTTGAATTGTAAAAGTTTGTGCGTTGATACTCATCATACTCATAATGTTCAAGCAAAGTCATTGCACTCAATGCATAGCCCACTGTGTACTACTATAGTAAGACGGTAAGTTGGGCCAATTGGTTAGGATCCATCGTGAACTTACAGCGCAACACCAGAAAAAATACAGGACAGGGAATGAGCAAAAGAGAAAGAAAAGACGGCGCCGTCTTTTCTTTCTCTTTTGCTCTTTCCCTGTCCTGTATTTTTTCTGGTGTTGCGCTGTAAGTAACTTCACGATGGTGTACTACTATGTTGTCCAGCTGGCAAAAACGAGATAGCCTACATGAAAAGGGACAAGTGAAAAGACAGTTGTCTAATCCTGTTCCTTTATCCTTAGTCACTAAATGGCGCGGTTGCATGGTCAGGCTAGCAGATTACCTTTGAAGCGTGAAATATGGGTGATAATTCTTCTGTTTAACCTCTCTTTTTTCCTCTTCTTTTTATCTCTCTCTCTCTTCCTATCCGTCCAGTTTTGTTGGAGTACTGCTACTGGACTAACACTTAAGGTACCTTAGAACAAGAAAACATGAGACATTTTGAAGCCTGACATGATAGGTCTGCGTGCAAGGTATTAACTAGCAGAATTTAACTACTTGCGACACAGTTCTAGTGTCAACTTATGATGTTATACGGCACACAGCAAATAAGTGATTTATATAGATTGATGAATCGTAATACCCATAAAAGACAATGCATACTGAGCCAAACGATGTAACATAACAAATATTGTCATAGCCACTTTCCCTGAAATAATTGCACCATACTGATTTTTCGCTTGGTCTAGTACAGGTCTTGGATAGGCCTTACTATCTTAATTTCATGTGTACACGTGTTTTGCATAATCTGGGAGCAGTCATTAAAGGGCTGCACAACTAAGCACTTGAGGCTTGCAGAAAATGTTTTAATTCAGAAGGAAGAAGTATACTAATTGCAAACGTAAAAGGGAAATTGGTATGTTGCAAATTATTCATGCATCACTTCTGCTGTCATAAAATTTTACTGACCACACTTATCATAAAAAGGGTCTGGATGATTTCTCAAAGTGGGGTTACAGAACCATGGGATTCTGCAGACTCGAAGGAAGTTAGCTGAAGGTCCGAAGAAAAATTGGTGCCTGCCCCCTCCCTCCTTTGCACCCTGAGAGCAAGCATATTCAAAGCACACCGCTTAAGCTTCATGCCTACCTGCCCCTCTGAATCAACCCACTTGTCATGAATGCCGTCTCCCCCCCCCCCCACATTATAAAAAGAACTCCTAACCTTTGGTACGGTTCCTGCACAAGCGCTTCCTTTGTGTTTCGTGAGCAGCTAATCAATTTTTCCTCGTTCTACACTCATCAAGCCACCCACTACAGGTTCGCCTAGTCACTTGGCAAACCTGAGTGGTGATTCATCTACGCAACCTTCATTAATCACGCCCTACTCTCAATAGCACACCTCAGTACATAACATGAATGTGCGAGAAATTTAGTCTCCACCTGGGAGATCAATTTCTTGTGGAATGTGGAAAGGAAAGAATGTGCAGTTCATGTCAGTGAATAATTTTTTGTGGGCTCTTGCTTTTTTTGAATTTCGGGCTTACGAAAGTGAAAGAAGAATGATTGCTTGAAGGTGGAGGAGAGGGTAGGTTCTAAGGGGGATTTAATTGAGTTGGACGGAATTTCTGAGAATATGCTTTAGAACCCCTTGGTCTACTGTATAGGTAGTATTTCCTAGATCTAATACACAATTTTAGGCTAGACAATATGATGAAACGGCAATTAAGGTGTAAATGTTAGGGTATTTAAAGAAGTTCATGCTGCTGTTTGTGTGTGTAATGAAGAATTTATGACTGAAAAAAGAATAGTCATGTACCGTGTGATAAGAATATGAAAAACAAAAGTGTGAGTATTCATGATGTGTTATGCGAATTGATGAACCAATGATCAACATTTCATCATCTTTCCTTTCACTAAATAGTTTATTGGAAAGATATTTTTGTATTCAGATATGTTTGTACTGTGTTACATATCAATATTAAACTTTTTCAGGCACCGTGGTTCAGCGCACATCCCTGTGTCATTTTGGATAATGATGAATACTTGGGGCCATGCATGGTGCTTACAGAAAACCAGCTTTTGAAGGCAGATAACCCCATTCAAGCAATCCTTATGTGCTTCTGCCTTCACTGGGTACTAGATATTTGCTACGACTCTGCCTTTAAGGGGTTTTACTCTATTCTAGAGAACGTGCTTGGACTGCACAGTGTGAAGCTGTCAGCGACAGCGATTCATGTGCTTTCTGCTTTAGAATGACTTGTGAGAACAAATATTCATAATCAAATTTTTGTTAACTGGTGATGGTAGAGTACTTTCTTTTTTTTTTGCAAACTTACATTTGAGTATAAAAAGTGTATTTAATGGGTCATGATAATAGGGTGCATTTCTGAATGAAACGTGTATTGTAATCTGTGTTTTGCTTGCATTTAGTGTTGCTGTGCATTATTAAAGTTTATGCAATGATTGAATGCCACAGTGTCTCCTGGTTGCATCTTTTCGTGCTGCTGCAGCTCATTAAATCATCCAGGCTTCTTCGATTTCTGTCGTTTGAACAGTCACACCCATTTATTCGGAGCTCACTGAATTTGAGCAGTCTTGCAGTTTTCTTCGAGGTTGAATGAACGTGTTTTACTGCACTTCTCCCAATGTTCTTTGGGCACTTGTATATTGTGTGCATTCAATCAAACAATTTAAAATTTCCACTTTGGAATGGCTTTTCTTAAAATAACTTGGAATGATAGGGATTAGACACATTCAAGTTTGAAAAAAATAATGAAGCTATAATGTTAATTCACACGCTTTGTCGAGAACCTCAGGCACGACAATGTTATGTTCTATTTCCATGCCTACTTACCTAAAAATTAGTCAAATGTGTGTGGCTTTGGTATAAGACCAGACTCTTAATGCAGAATTGACCAAATGAAAATTGACTGGTAATGTTAATAGACTAAGGTGAAACTTCAAACTAATTTATGAACATGTAGCTTCACATGCATATGCCAGACAAAACAGTAGTATGGTGAGCCAAGAAGCTCAGTTGAGGAAGGCCGTGGCCCATCATGTGCAGTGTCTTAAGGAAATGAATGCAGAAATATGATGATACAAATTTTCCTATTTTGGTTGCATCACCTGAGCTCAACAATCACGACTAAATCATTTTTAATAAAATTGGAGAGCTACAGTTTTGCCACCTTACACAAGGTACCACTGCCAAAAAAGTAAACTACAGCACTTATCGAATGGGTGCTGTTCTGCTGCAGTTGACGAGCTCTAGGGGGGACTGAGCCTCTTCTTTAACAGTGGGAAGGGGAATACACCTCCCCCCCACCAAGGCTGCCCTTGACTTTAGGCCCTGCATGTGAAGGCCTGTGCCACCCACCCTCACTGACTTTTCACACCAGGTATGGGTTGATGGCAAGTGCAATGCTGTGGTTACTTTTGGGCATCACTGCGTTACAGTTATAAATATACAAGGACCAAAAAATTTCTCTCTGGATTTTACAAATTTCCTGACTTAACAAATAATATTGAGAACTAATATTGTGTCTAATTGTGTCTAATAAAAAATATGAGCCCTTAAATTTCTGCTTTCCTAGTTAATTCAATAATTCAAGCACGGTCAGCACTTCCACGTCTAGTTTTAGGTGTAAGTTAACATAATCAATGGAATAATATTAATTTTTAATTACTTCATGTAGAGCATTGTTATTCATACAAACATGAAAATAAGCCAGTATTAATTTTTCAAAGTGGTAACTCTTCAGCATGCAATCACCTGCCCCACCACTTCTCCCAATATATAAAAAAATGGTTTCGGTACAGGATTGTTTTTTCAGACCTTAAGACCAAGGAGAATCGCATTACTAGCTGCCTTCCTTTGCCTTAATTGTGCAAAATCATCAATGTGCTCCCAGTCTTGTACAGTAATCTTACAGCCCATTGGTTTCTCTCACTGAAATCTCATTGGCTTAGCAAAATCTGTGCAATACTCTGGTAAGGTATTATTGCCCGATCAGATATAGTTTTAGCTGTACGCGTGGGCATGCGCCCAGGGGGAGGGGGCGGTTCAGAAGGGGGGGGGGTGCCCACTAGGGGGGATGCAAAAGTCAACACCATATGTTTATGTAGTAGGGTAGTAGGGACGGGGGCGCTGCGACTCAGTGGGGGGTGCAAAGCCAGCCTCATACATTGACATAGTAGGGGGAGGGACGCTGCGACGAACCTTCGCCGCCGTTCTCCATGAATGAAAACCTTACGCACGCCTTTAGCTGTGCGTCTATTTGTTCTTACAGGTGTGCCCTTCATTTCTAGGTAACACAATTTTGCGATTACTTTCGCAACTCTCTCAATTAACAATGACGAAGCACAGTCGAAGTAGCACAGTACCGCTTTTCAAGCACCTTCTGCGCGCCGCAAGTCGTTCGATAAATGATCGGCATTGCTGGCGGATGATATTACATCGCTTTTTATGCCTAGCCAGCGCTTTGAATCGATCTGCAACACTCGACGTAGCGAGTTGCGGGCGACTATTTGCAGCTTGGATTCACGCGAGGTACGTGGGAGTGAGTCATTTTCACTCACGATAACGACCTGACGGATTGCGGCCAAATAAAACCATGAATGTACGCATGCTTTTAGGGTAACGCTTTTATGTGTGCTCATGTCGTTAGTTCTGTGCTTATTTCAAAGTACGCACATTAACTCGATCCACTTGATAGTTTATCCTCAAATAAAGCGCTCACCCATCGGTTGCGTGAACATGATGTAACAGCTCCGCAATTACACCGTGTAGTAAAAATCACTTTTTAATTAAAAAGTATGTGCCACTTGCAGAATAATGGCAGAAGTGATATCAACTTGCCCTTAACATATTCATTAAACAAGAATAATAGACACAAAACATGCGCCCCACCGGCACCTTTATGGCAGTCGTAATTCCTGCCTATATAAACCGGAACGCTTCGAGTACTTATATAGCGCTTTGGTGAATGTGCTTGGCTGTTCGATGTACTTATGTTGTATACGCGTGCTGTGTTGTAATATCATGTTTAAATAATATGTATTAACGTGTATGCAACTTCGATTAAGTGTTGAATTTTGTGTATTCACATGTATGAAACTATCACTAAGTGTGGTTGATTGTGTGTGGTACATATATACAACAGGTTGAGTAAACTGCTGTCTACATTGTAAGACGCAAAATAACACCCAACTCTATTGCATGTAATCTTTGATAAATAATCATTCTCTGTAACCTTATTCCTTTTTTTTTGCATCGTGAATTTTTTTTAGTATCAATATTTTCCTCTAGGTGGCGCGAGTTACCATTTTACTTCATGGCTGTGGTGGTGATGTTATACTGTGAAACATCCATCTAGTGAATTACTCCTTTCAGTAATGTAACTTTTCTCCAGGTGGCGCTAGCTACTTTCTACTTCAAGGGTATAGTGCTATCAGAGATCCACATCGTATACATAACGACGTACATTTATCTATGTAGTCACCCATGCGTGTGCTGGTGCATTTCTGCTGCGCAATAAGTTGTTCACATGGAGCGTACACGTTTAGAGAAAATTGTGTCTGCGAAAGCAGCGATGATGCCCTGTGCGACTGTGTGTATGTGAAGTGCAAATTTGCGAAGGATTATGAGCCGCATGAATGAAGGTGAGCTGAAACACGAAAGTGGGACCGTTCTTCTCGACAGCTCGTTGTCGACAAAAGTCATCGCCAATTGCCCTCGTAAACACGCGCACAACGCCGCTACACTGGCTGATGCTTTGAGAAATAAAGACAGCCTTACGTTTACTTGTTGTGTGACAATCATTTTGCAGTATTTCCGATATTCTTGTGACTGCATGCCGTGTAAATGCATGGGCGAGTGAAATGCGCGATCAGCGTTGTTGTTACGCGTGGTTCTTGTCACCACGGGTCTGGCCGCTTCGTCTTATTTTCGATATAATTTCATATAATGCTGAACGGTATCGTTTTTACGTTGCCCAGTCGCGCATGCTGTTTATTTGTCGAGATTCGATGTCGTTGATAGGCCTAAATCTAGCGCTCGCTTCACTGGCTTGGCGTCCGCCATGTTGATTTTGACGATGGAGAAACACGTTTCTCCGTGGCGGATAGAGCAATTTTGCTCCATCTGAAGACGAACATTGGGGACATCGCCGTTTCTCCCTAAATGGAGAGTACGTCACTCCATTTTTTTTAAGAGTGTAGGGTCCTGTAGCTTCCACAGTGCCTGAACTAACGTCCTAGAGGTACAAACAGCAGGGTTCAGCAGTGCCATTACGCGCAGAAGAAATTCATGTGACGCTACTGCATCCTTCTCTAGGGACGTCAATGCTCTCTTCGCTGCTCCTGCATGTACTCGTGCGCGTTTCACCGTGTCTGTAGAAAACAGTTTTAGCGGAGCGTCCGCTATGCAGACGCAGCCTGCCATTAGGATGGATTGCCACGGCTTTGGGAGCTTCGCTCCTAAAAATTTGTGAGTTAGTATTCCGGAGATCCCTTCCGGCTACACAGTGCCATGGTGACAGACACTACTAAAGTTAGATGCAAGGAGGCGCGCTTTTTTTTTTTGATTTCGGATTGGGACGTGCATCTTCGGCAGCGTCCCTGCGGCGTCTGTAGTGAAATAAAATTTTTTTAATTTTTTTTCTTTAGATCAGTATAACGGCGTCTAATTCGGCGTGGCTGCCGCAATTCAAGACGTGAGGGAGACGCCGACTCCTCGGAAAAGACTCTTACTCACGCCGTCCCACCATTCCAGAAATGAACATCCCCCCCCCCTCTTTTCTGCAGAAAAAAAAACAAGAAAAAAAGCGGATCTCTGTGGAAAGGTGCAAGGGCGATCCTTGCAGCGAGGAGACGTACTCAGCCTCAGCCGCTGCATTGGAAACCTGCTGCGTTTGCCCCACTAGGATGTTGGTTCTAGTTTACTATAGCTAAAGGGAACTTCTGAACAGAGTATAGGTACGAGCCGTTCTCCTGTGACTTAACAGAACAGGCACTCTTAATGCGTGTGTTGCACGGCCACTTGTGATTTCGCCCTTGAAATTCGATGACGAGTATTTTGAACTACGTGCAACTCTTCTGATTTTCGAAATATGCGCATGTAATAAATAGGCACGCACTATGACCTTGTAACTTCTTCATATATCCTCAGTCAATGAAGTAAAACTGCTTTATGAAGGAGTTTCTGCTAATTCATCACAACATTGTAATTTTAACTACGGCACAGTACTTGCGCGTCGACATCGAGTTAGGATGTAGAAACGACAGGTGCCTT